ATAGTAAAAATAATACATCCTGACCAGACTGGCTTTGTACCAAAGAGATTTATGAAAGATAATGTCCAATTTGTGATCAATGCAACTGAATTTGTAGAGAAAAAGAGACAGGTTTGTTCTTTTAGACAAGCCATGTCACTTAGCAGCAGTAAACAAATGACAACATTTTATTACTAGAAAGGCTTAACAAATGTCTTATAAAATGAGCTGTTAGGCACGTGCCTGTTAATAGGTAAGCAGGCAGATGATCTGAGGGCTGCAGGAGAAACAATTTTGCAAGGTGAAGTTACTCAGTACATTTATTTAATACATTATATCCTGCTTTTCCTCCAAGGAGTAGAGGATGGTGTATGTAATTTCACCCTTCATGCATCCTCACAACTGTGTGAGGTAGGTTCGGCTGAGAGAGTGATTGCTCAGGATCACTTCATTGGAGTGTGGAGCAAGCTTCATTGGAGAGTGGGGAACCACTTCATGGAACCCCCTCAGATCCTACTCTTGGCACCCTAACTACAACATCATGTACTGAAAACTGAGGTGCTGTATATGAGTCACCCAAAGCAAATTAATTATGGTATCCTTCTGGATCACCTTTCAGGACTGGGACCAGGAGGCACTGTTTTGTGGTGGTTCCGGTCCTACCTCGAAGGTGGGTTTCAGATTGTGGTGCTGGGAGACTACTGCTCTACCTCCTGGCCTTTGGCCTACAGGGTTCCCCAAGGGACCATCCTTGTCCCCTATTTTTTTCAACATCTATGTAAAGTCACTGGAAGAGTTCATCCAGAGATTTGGGCTGAGTTGTCACCAATATGTAGATGACACTCAGCTCTATCCTGCGCTACCAACAGATCCCAGGAAAGCTTTAGAAGCTGTAAACAGGTGCCTAGAGGCAGTTTTGGAATGGATCAGGGCTAACAAGCTGAAATTTAATCCTGACAAAATGGAGGTGCTACTGGTAGGGGGAAGGGTCTAACCCAGGAAATGGGTTATCCTCTGTTTTGGATGGGGTTGCACTCCCCGTGAAGGAGCAGGTTCATAGTTTGGGGGTGCTCCTGGCCCCAGGCCTCCTGTTAGCTAAACAGGCTGCAGTGGTGGCCAGGGGTACTTTTCATCAGATTCTGCTAATGGGCCAGCTGCTACCCTTCCCGAGCAGAAAAGATCTTGCCACTGTGGTGCATGCCCTGGTAAAATATAGATCGGATTACTGCAACACACTTTACTTGGAGCTGCCCTTGAAGACTGTCCGGAAGCTACAGTTGGTACAGAATGCTGCAGTCAAGGACCATATCACTCCAGTCTTGGTCTATCTACCCAGACTCCCATTTTGTTTCCAGGCTCAATTCAAAGTGCTGTAATAATTATAATTAACGTATGGCAGCGTGTGTAGTATAGTATATATACACATACAAATACAGTTGTTAAATTCAACTCCTATTTGTGTACATTTAATTATCTAAGTACAAAACATACTATAATGAAAAACAACAACAATCTCTGTCAGAACAATACAAACTATAGAACAAGGGAGAGTACAAAATGTCCTGTGAAATTTTCCAGATCTGTGTAAATAGATCATGAGGTCCCAAATATATTACATCCCTCTTTGAGCCCTAATACATCCGGGACCTCGTGATCTATTTACACAGATCTGGAAAATGTCACTGGATATTTTTTACTCTCCCTTGTTCTATAGTTTTGATTGCTCTGACAGAGCTTGTTGTTTTTCATTACAGAATGTTTTGTACTTAGATAATTAAATGTACACAAGCATGAGTCGAACTTAACAACTGTATCTGTAGAAGAAGAAGAGAAGAGATTGGATTTATACCCTGCCCTTCACTACCCAAGGGAGTCTCAGAGTGGCTTACAAATTCCTTTCCCTTCCCCTCCCCACAACAGACACCCTGTGAGGTAGGTGGGGCTGAGAGCTCTGAC